TAATGTTCGCATGCTTTATACAACTGCATCCACCAAGGTGTTCATTCCATCTACCTTGCGGATTAAGTAAAGTATGAGAAAAGATTGTTAAAAAGGAACCTCAAGATATCGGCAATCACAGTCTGTCTCCGGGTGTACTGCACCCAGTTGCGGTGGAAAGGGTTAACATAATATGCACGTAGAAAATCAACAGCAGTTCAATAGTCAGGGCCGGTCATAGACTTGCTGAGGCCCTAAGCTATACAAAGTCCAGGGGGGCCCCCATAACATCAGTTGGTCATAGAAAAAAAATTAAAATATATAACCGTCAGATTGTGAGTTCCTAGGCTGTAGCTTGTGTACCACCACCGATAGCCACGTAGTTATAGAACCCTATTGTAGTGAACTGTAATACATAATCCTTACTTTTCAAACAAACTGTAATACATAATTCTTTCTTTACAAACAATGTTGTCTTCCCCTAGAGCTTGGAGCAGCTTCAGATCCACGTTCGGGACATGTCAAAGGAGATTCCTGAAGCGAGACAAGTTTCTCTTTGAGGTTCCTGAAAACTATTTCCTCTTTGAGACCGTCGAGCAGACGCTGAAGCCCAGGAGGCATCTCGGCATCATCCCACCAGACGACAGGGACAGGGCGGATGGGGGCGCCAGTGACGCCGTAAACAAACAACTGAATCAGGGCATGTTGAAGGGGAAAGTCTCTCACATACGAGATCTGACAAAGTAACTATAGCAAGGGTTCTAAAAAAATATGGATGGCGCCCATATACGTACGAAAAAAAGTACGTATAGAGTGTCAAAATTTCAAGCAAATTTTAGCAGAATTTTGTGAATAAATGTACCTACTTTCTGCCGAGAACCCCCCCCCCCCCAATGGGACTCACTTGGGTAGAGAAGGCGGTGGAGCCCCCACCCCCACCACAACGTCCCGTGAATTTTCAGAAATATTCGATCATTTAAAATTAACAGTAGGAAACACCAATCATAATCTGACAATTCCTGCTAAAATTGCGATGTACTGAAGCGCTTCCAGTTATATTAAACAATGCAACAAGCAGGCCAAGTTTTGGTTTTCTCCCCTCCCCTGAAAAAAATCTGAACTGACATTCCTGCCCCCC